GTTATTGACGTGGATTTCAATAAAATTCTCTTTAGTAGACGAAAAGTGTAGTTGCGAAGAAATATTATAGACTTGACATAGACCTTAAAATCCGGAATCTGAAGGTCCGACCACGTCGTTCGAAGAACAGACAGAAAAGTGATCTAGTGGAGAAAATTAACAGGAAACGTGGACTGCAAGTGTAGGAGAGTCATGCTTCGGCACGAATTGGTCGGCTCTATCGAAGTAATACCACGGCCTCACAGAAAACCGGCGTGAAAAAACCACAGTGTTGTTTCCAGAGGCCCAATCCTTCTGCTCCCCTAATCCCTCCCCAATCCCTTATCCCCAAAAGTCAAAAGTCGCCACGGTACTCGTAACTCCTCTGTTGTAGCGGGTGTCTATGGGCGGCGCTGATTGCTTACCTTGAGAAGTGATTTGATGTCGTTCGCACTCAAAAAATATACATGTTTATAATTAGAGATTTTCATTTACGGATAATTAATGTACTTTAAACATTCAGTTTAGCGTTTCTATTTATACGATTGCACTGTTAGCTTAGCACTCTGCCTCGAAATGCCATTCATTGTATATTGATCCCGAACAAGACAAACGTTTTTGTGAGATCTAGACATAAGGCCTATACTATGTCAGTTTTCCTATAATTATATCTTTGCCCTATTTTGGACTTTATTCTTATATTTTTAAGTATTTGCACACTTTAACTGGGAGAGCCAAGCTGCGGCACTAAGAGGTTGATTCGACTGGAGGGAAAACATGGCCTCATAGAAACCTGGTGTGAAACAACAATAGAGTTGTATTTTATCATGTGAGGGATGTTACAGGAGGCCCTTCTCCTTCCCCATCCCTCCATCCATCTAGGCGGTTCCGATAGCTTACCATCAGGTAATACGTCGGTTAGTTTGTCGCCACATCACATAAAAAGCCATATGTTAAAGAAAATAAATATTTAACAAAATAAAAAGTAGTATCACACCGATAACAAGGTTAAGGCCTTCGGTGGTCACGGCTCTAAAGGAAGGAATCTCCGGCAAAACACTCCAGAAATACTGCTTTCTGCGTCAGTTTCTTGAATCAACCATTATAACATAAGCCTACTCAGGTGTCGGTGCGATGCTTTTAGCCACGAGGTCATTGACAGACAAGACTTTAGGCAAAATAATTGCTGAGTTCACATCCCACATGTTGTCAATCTCATTAGCGAAATAAGACTTGCTTTTGCTTTTTCAGGATGTTCTCGTCATGTGGGTTTGTTATGGCAATTATATTTGTATGGGGGTTGATTGATCTATTATCACAATGTCAGGTTTGTGATGATAGGTCGATCAGGTCATTATTTTGTCAGTGTTTCTATTACTATTATATTGTAATAATATTATTCTTATTGAAGTCGAAATTAGGTTGGAATTTGTAAGCATTACTAAACGACGACACGACAGCGGAAAAACAGTGAATAGCTTCATCGGAAAATACTCATAATTTAAATAATGTTTACACACTGCTTTATCCGCGTAAATTATGAAAACCACAATTAAGTAACGAGCGAGAATCAAGAAGATGCATTGAGTTGATAAAGCTTAAAGAGAAACCAGTATATAAACTGCCTTTCAACTTTAAATATAATATTACGGTATGTTATGTGTACGCACTGACCTATAACATCCAAATACTATTATAAATACCAAGGCAAACAGTATTAGATTTATATAAACCCAGCCAGCGTGCAAGCCTACTAGGTTTCGAGAAACTATTTCAACTGAATGTTGCATGGTTTCCTATAGCCAGCCGTTGCCATGGTTACAGCTTAAAGAGAAATCTCGTGCTTTTATTGCATGTGGCCTGGTGGAAACAGTAATCAACTAACGTGACGTCACGTATCATATTCACTGATATCATAGTCTGTAGTGTAACATATGAGAATGACATACGACCGGTGTTTTTTTTAATGCCACTACATATTATTGACAAATTAATACGTGTGTTTTTCTTGAAGAGCCTTGCTTTGGCCCAAAGGCTTGTGGTAACACGGACGCATAGAAAACCGATGTCAAATAATACCCGCTGGTTTTTACTGCGGAAGTGAAGTTACGATACTTATTTCAGACCTCTCCCCCTCAAAGGCCTAAGCCCAAAACATGTGTGATATTAAACATTTAAACACAATACATATAATAACAAAATAGGTACAAAAGTACTGTATATTACTAGAAGAATTACTGAATGACATTGTGGATAGAGATAGGTTTTAATCTCGGAATAACGCATAGGCTAATTTGACTCTGCTGCTGCAGGTAAAATCGCTGGCAGAAACTAGTACAGTATAAGTTATAACGATAATTATAGGTATCTGTATTACAATATTGTGACCGTTCTTTACATTTTCTTTAAACGTTTGTTTCTCTAAGATTTTCTCCTGTATCGTGGGTGCGTTTACAAACTTACAAATTTACATAAACAAGCTATCTAGGCCCGAAACAACAATTTGTTGATCATGTGTAAGGATCGAACGCTACACGTTGTAAAGCAGCCAGTTGCTCAGCCACCATGCGAACCGTTCAGTCAGTGCATTACACACATATATGTTATTTCGTTTTCTTCTTCACACGATGTACGCTTTGAGTGGCAGATTTGACGTTATTATATGAGTTCATTATTGAGTTGCACATTGTTATCATCCGAAGTGCGTGTGGTGGTGAGGAACCTTTTAATAGACCAGACAGCCTTTGTCTTCGCTATCGGTTCAAAATAAGTAATGAAAGCTTCTGTATATTTACTATATGTATATATATTTATCCAACTATTGAGCTCTATTCGAACAAAACAAGTGTCTTTAAGTAGGTACTCTGCAAAAAGCAATGCCATTTTCGTCGAAGTTGAGAAATATTTAATCTAGAAAATAATTCTGCTTTATTTTTATGTATTTTTTGTGCGCGTTTGCGCTAATCTCCAAAGCTACTGGTTCGAATTGATTTTTTTATTTATTTTTTTATTAGTCCATTTATTAAGGAAGGCTATAATTTATAAAACATAACGCTACGAGCTATAGGAGGCGAGCTCTAAATAACTAGTTGTACATATATGAAATGAAATATTGACTCAGTATCGTTTTAAGTACTAGGTCAGTGCATTCAAATATTATAAATACATGACCACCATCATCAGCCTGACACCGTCTACTGCTGGACGTAAGCCTCAGCACCTCTCATCCAACCACTGCCAGCCACCATACAGATATCGTCAGGATAATTAAATATACGCTTTTAAATAAATACATATTTTTATTGTGAATTAAATATGTAACATAATATGTGTTACTGACTCAATTGACTCAACCCATTGTTTAATTTTATATAAGCTGAATAATAATTTTGTTTTTTCTTTACCGTTATTTACTATATTACATAATCTTCTTTTAATGTTGAATTAATATTAACATAATCGGTTGTGAAATGTTCAATTAATAATGTTAATAATATTAAATCCGATTCATATTATAATCTGATTAAACAAATTAATTTTGTAACTCAACGAATATTGTCGATTTCAAAATGAAAGCTTTTTTTTGAGGGGATAATCATATCAGTCACACCCCCTCCTGCCCAGGGCCTCTTACTGACTAAAAACACCTCCGTTCCTTCTATTGTACTGGATATCAGCCTTATAGGGCCCCGTCTGTGGTGATCTATCGGCTCATTGAGGCGCGCGTGGAACGCTTTTACTACTCTCGGGTCTGGTTCTGGTCAGGTGGCGAGTCACCCTTCCTCGCCGTCTCATATGTTACTTAGAATTAGCCGATAAATTGAAATAGAAATTTTTAGACTAAAAGTTTGGCTTGAAATTTTGAGTGCATTTCTTTTGTTAGAATCAAATGTTTTGTGTTATTTAAAAGCACAACTTATGGAAAACGAAACATGTCTTGAAGTCACGATACAAGAATCACCAAGATTAACCTTACAGTTAGTGACATGGTGAATACTATGCCCCTTCATCGCTATCATAGATATCATCGTAGCCCTATGATTATCAGCCGGGCATTTCGGGGCAAGCACAATAAGAAATACCGCATCCTCGGCCTGGGGCAAGAGAAGGAACGTGGAAGCTTTTTATCAATAAGAGTCTACACTACCTCTCGCTTAACCCTAGGCGAGAAAAGTCATTTGATATTTTCCCCACCTCAAAAAACCCTTTGCTTCTGGCGGCATTCATGACGTCATCGTACTTTACTTCAATTAAATGCATTTTCTTTTAAATAAAACATGCCCGACGCATTGGAATTTATATTAAAATAATATCCAGCTTTTTATGAGAAAAAAACAGACGTAGAGCAACTAATAACAAAACGTTTCTTTTATAAAATAAATTATATTTCGCAAAACGTTTGTACAGCTAATTATAATAATATCCTTGCATTCTTTTAATTGAGATATTGATTGTAATTACTGCAATAATAGCTTTGATTTCTGATATAGGTATGTACTAAACGCGCGTGCATATGGCATCCTTATTAGTTCCCTTTGTCTAAGGTTCGATTAACTGACACTGTTCACTTGGACAAATAATTAATACATACATAATTATATGTATATTATGTGCATATACATGGCTATGTTTCTGTTATTAGCTCTGCGGTTTTGCTTATTTGATATAATCAGGCAGGGCCACGTTTCGCCGCGTCCTTCTAGAAATTAATGCTTTTCGCGAACGTCCACAAACGCCCACCATATCGAATTCGCCTTTAGCGAGCGTGGTAGTTAATGCACAAACCTTCTCCGTGTGATAAGTGGCCTTTGCGCAGGATCTTGGACTCTTATTCTTGAGCAGCGCGCTCGTCACGGCGACGTCGCGCGGCCATCTGACGTCACCCCGACGCGCAATAGACCATATAGTCAATTCACGTTAGAAAGTCGTTATTTTCAATAAATTAATTTGTCTCAAGTTAGTTAATATTGTATATAAGTACATAAATAAATAACAACTTACGGTAATATGTTTCTATTTAGGTGACATGGTTTCGCAACGAGCGACGGCTGTTGGAAGCGGAGCGCGTGGCTCTAGCCCGGGACGGGAACTTCTGGTGTGCTGATGTAGCTGCGGTCAGCGTCGACGATGCTGGTCGCTGGACCTGCACTGCTGAAAACGCCGGCGGCAGGGCCAGCTGCTCGGCGCATCTTAATGTACTTGGTTAGTAGTTGAGGTTATACAACAAAACATTACTTTCACATCCTCAGCCTATAAGTCCTAACTGCTGAGCAAAGGCCTCTTCTCACACGGAAAAGGTTTGAGCATTAACCCCCATGCTTGCTCTAGGCGGATTGGCAATTTTAAACTTATAATTATAGATTTCCTCACGATGTTTTCCTTCAGCGTATGTCAGTGGTGTCTGAAACGGAAAACATGACATTGGTACTTGCCAGGTTTCGGACCCGCACCCTGATTTATGAGAAGCGGGAAGAATCTCAAAGCCACAACGACGAACATTACATTATTAACAGTCTGCACTGGGCACCGCTGTTGAATATTAAAACTAAATAAATACCAAAAAGCAGGTTCAATATACCGTTAAGAAATTCCGAACTCAACCACCAACCAACCTCCTTTTAGAAGTTAACTGAAATCTTTATGAAAATATGTTTTTCCTCTCCTCAGTGCCTAAAGCGTACAAGCGCCCAGAGTTCGTGGAGGAGCTACGAGCGCTCCTCACAGAGCAAGGAACTGTATCACTCGAGTGCAAGGTCGTGGGAGTACCCACTCCCGTGCTGAGGTGGTTCAAGGTAAATTATACATTAATATGTATGAACAAGTCATATTTTCCTTTGAATCTAGTGTTTTCTTTTGTTTTCTAAAACGAATGTAGTTGCACCAGCTATTAAAAATCATTAGCTTTCAAAATCAAAGCATTTTATTTTACTTCAACTAGGTAACATACAACATAGGTTGTTTGAAACATACATAGCTATTTCTATATAGGTATGTTGGCTGTACAGGGTCCAGTTCTTGGAATTGGATACTGTGACAAAATCACCTAGACGGCTGAAAAGCTTTTATAACGTCTGTAGGAATATATTCGAATCTGGTTTATACTGGTTGGTACTGGTCAGCTCCGGACTGTCTATTGTCCTTAAGGTTGTTTTCTTTTTATATTTCTTTGAATAAATATTAGTGTTACACTGTTCTCACATAATTGAACCAACTGTCTGTATAAGGCATTTGTATGTGAAACTGATGTAAAAAGAGTAACCATGGAGTTTCTTGTTCGTTCTCCTCCATCGGAATCTACACTCTGGAACGAGCAAATAGCTTCACTAAGAGGACTGACCGACAGACGGCCACTTAATTTTGTTTGACGTTCAAAAGTGCATGTAAGGGTTTAATTGAAATAAATGATTTTGACTTTTATAAACCTTTGCCATGTCATTGTTTAGGCATTTGATAGAGAAATTACAAAGAGTTTATATTTAAAAAAACCGGGTATTTTTGTCTTAGCTCCTACCTACATTATTAAACCTATTATTAAGTGAGACAACTTAGACTACACAAAAAAGTACAACAAAAGACGTAAAAGAACAAATGACGACGCGACGTTCGGCGGGACAGATAAGTAGATACTATCAAAAATAAAACTGATGAAAGTTGTTCATCTATAAGCGAATTTGGTCTCTAACAATACCACACCCTTATGTTATAAAGTTCACTTTCCATTTATCGTCAAAAATGTTTTCTTAATAAGTTGTTCTTAGAGTTTTCATTTTACGTAAACACAATTCTCATGGACATAGGAAAAGGCAATAAAAATAAGTGAATGAACCTTGAAAGTTAAAAAAGTTCTACAAAATATGAACAACCTATTACACTGATAGCGCTGAAGAGTAAATTTTCAATGTCCTGTTTAAAATTTAGAGCGAAGCTCGTGCATACACACTTGTTCAATTCACTGCCTTTTTAATTTGCCTTTTGAACATAAAAATCGAAATAAAAATATCACAAAACGCTCCATCCTGAAAACTAATCTAAGAGAGGCAAGAAGTGTGCTATCCAATTGTTTTTTAGCGTTAAATGAATGCATATTCGAATTATTTTTCACACGAAAGGTGTATGATAATGAAACAGGAAATTCAGAGTAAATATTTATGTAAGTCTATTAGATAAGTACCTACCAAAGATAATTACGTGGTTTCGGATAATCCTTGTACCTGCCTTTAGCTCTGTTTTGCATCACCCAATGGTTGACTGGCAGACATTCCCCATGGCCTTGTACTAAATTTTGTGCAAAAAATGAATAAGAAGTAAATAACATATTTATCACTGACTGTATATTGTTTGGTATTGTTAAATAAATAAGTTCTTTATTGTACTCACACCATTCTTATAGCAAGAATACTTTATTAATGGTAGGTTGTAATGGATGGCTCTTTGGAAATCCCGTCTACACAATTAATTAAAAAAAAATTATAACATTCACAGCACAATATTATGTATTTATTTAGAGAAGCAAATGATCAGACAGCTGACCCGATGGTAAGCAATCAGTGTCATGTTAGTGATAATTATTAAATATGGCATTACGAATGGGAAACTAATTCTGAAATTATTCTCCACGTTTTACAGGATAGTCGTGAAATAAAGGCGGGCGATGTGTTTGCCCTGACGGCTAATGCCGAGGATCCTACGTCCCTCGGCACCTACACTTGTGAGGCTGTCAACTGCATGGGTAGGGCCTACTCCTCATCCAAGGTCCACGTGGTCGGACGTGGCAGCAGAGAGGGATCTCTTAGACCTAGCTCCAGGTAAATAAATGTCATTTAAGATAAGTAGGTACCTATGTTGGGTCGCGAATTTTCTTAGGGCCTAGGCTCTGGTTTTGGTTTGTCAAAGGGGCTGACGTAAAGACTTATGATAACTTAAGTAATCAGTGCCACCCATGGTTTACCGCAAAATTGCCAACGTTTTGGGGATTAGAGATTTGAACGACTTAGGAAGCTGCGGTGAAAGGCGGGATTTAAACCTTGGATAATCTCATACTGCGAAACATAACGCGGCGTATTTTACGCTGCTGTCCCGTCTGGCCGTGGTATCACTCGTGCGAGCTGGCTCATTCGTGACTTTCCCAAATCTTATCTGTTTTGTCAAATATTTATTGTACCAGGGTCTAGGGAGTTTGTACTACAGTTTAGATTTCTACTTTGTATGAGATAAGTTCAAAGATCGCGTCAAAATCACATTCAATTCTGAATAATTTATCGATTATAAAATCGATACGATGAAATGACGTTTTAATACATGCAGAGCCGATTCGCTCGATCTTCGATTTGCATCATGCGAACCTGATTCCCATAGAATTTGACGCTAATATAATTCGACCCGGCCGAAAACTGTCACAGAATAAAGCCAGTCGGTGGCTTGAACGCATTAGGCGGATTGAAATGTAGGAGGTAATTGACACGCATTTATCTGTATTTCATACTACAGATTACATTAATATTGGTGTATACTCTTGAATATAATAAAGGAAATATGTGTAAATCCCGATAGTGTTTCGGGCTCTCATTTAATCAAATCAAAGTTGGAATATTTTTCTTTATTTGATGTGACTTTTTTTCCAGAAGTTACCGAGTATTTTCAGATGAGTATACATAATTGGCATTGTTTGTGATAATTTACTTTGACTATCTCGTTGGCAGTTAGTGCTTGGATTTTAGTATGGTTTAAAAAATATTTTATTTAGTTTTTCACTTGATTTTAACATTTTTAAATATTAAAAACCGTAAAGAAAAATATTTAAACATTAAAAAGTTGTATCCCACCGGTTACGGGAGGGTCCGAAGCAAGAGTTCAGGGCTTTAGAGAAAGGAATCTCCGGACATAGCGCGCCGTGTCTAGAAGTACAGCCTTTTCTGTATCAGATTCTTGATCCAACCATCTAGCCGCATCTAATGCAAGCTTGCTTAGGTGTTTATCGAGGCTTTAAAATATTGTTTGGTGCTTAAATTTGGTAATGACATCGCAATTGGCAGAAACGTGCACCGTACTGCCAAAAAACCGGTGCCCGTAGCCGCTTAGTCGCCAGCGCAACTGACGAGAAACACATTTTGTATTTAAATTTCGAATTGGTAAACGTACCCAAGATTTGAATTTATTCGTTTTCCAATTTTAGCACGCAGTCTTGTATTGTAGAAAGAGGTTAAATAAGATCATCTAAATATACTACTAATATACACTTCAACAAGAGATCACCTCTGACCCACGTTGATTAAAATTCGTGATGTTTATCTTACGAACAATCTGTGACAATAACCAAGCCTTGAAAAATACCTAACGGAAATATACTGACAAAGCTAAGATCTTATCAACAAAACAAATGACAAAAGACGATTCAATGCGAAATTTAACATTTAAATATGAGATTATCTATAAATAAGTTGAAGATCGTTACTGAGAGCAGAACTAACGAGCTGAGCGTTGAGTTTCAAGGGCGACTGAAGGCAACTTTTCACTATTATTAGAATGTTAATACCCGAGTACCAAGCCTAGTTATGAGACTGCCTTTAAGGAATGTTACAACGTTATAAGCTTAATACAACGGAATATTTGGTACAGATTTACTTAGAATTGGTAACTTAACAACTATGGTAGTACTAGTCATATTTAATAAAACTTATTGCTAATTGTCTAAATCGACAGTTTTCTATACACTTTGCACGAGATCGTGTGTTGTGACGTCAGAAATTGGCAAACAAAATAAAAACTTTGTTTATAGAAAAATCTTTAACTTGTAACAGTAACACAGCCATATAATTTCTAATGAATCATCCGATAAGAATAATAAGTAAAATACAATAAATTTACGCCTTTTATACGGAAGTCATAATATTTTTTTATGTGTAACGAGCATATGGATTACCTGATGGTAAGCAATCAGTGCCGCCCATGGACACCCGCAACAACAGAAGAGTTACTAGTGCGTTGGCAACCTTTTGATGATAAGGGATTTGGAGATTTAGGGATTGGGGAAGGGAGGGATAGGGCCTCCGGTAACCTCACTCACACGGCGAAACACAACGCTTTGGTTGTTTCACGCCGGTTTCCTCTGATGCCGTGGTATCCCTCCGGTTAGACCAACTCATTCGTGCCGAAGCATCGTTCTCCCATACTTATAACACTCACAATTATAAGTTACGGAAACAGTACG